TACGTTCACTAGTAACAGAAGCCGTAAGATGATTCGCTTATATCCATATTAACATTGCTGCTAGTCGCTAAACTGAAAGAAATAAGGTACATAACCGTTGGAACCGGAAGTGGGGAAAAAGGGGTGTGCCAAAAAAGGTGAGGTCCTTAACTATAAATCCAAGAGGTTGCTCACCCTGTCGTCCTCTGGTAGATGATAGAGTGTGGTCTGTGTGGGGTGCTGGTGTATCTTTCCATATGGCTCTATATGATAGGTGCCGTTCTCTGTGTGCTTGGATGGTTCCCTCAAACTGACTCCTGTAACACCGAGCCATGCAGGCCTGAACCATTGTTCTCCTAAAAAGACCAGGAGAGACAACATGTCTGAGGTGAAATATAAACAGAGATAACTCACATATAGACCACGGACCAGACTAATACCTTTAATTTAAAGTGACTTACAAGAAGTGCAACCAACCAAGCTGATTATAAAATCAGAACAGCAATATGAGATAGCCAATAAATGACCTTTCCAATGCTTTAACTTTGATCTTCAAATAATAACAATCAATCAGGGAATGTTTTACACAAACAGATTTTGTATCCAAATGTTTTATCCAGCTGTTTTACAGATGTCCGAAACCTTAAAAGCTTTAAATAACTGTTGAATGTTTTGTGTTTAAAGGCCTAATCAGTGGCGTAATAATCGACGGTGTGCAGCCGGTGCACACGGGGGCCCAGAGCCCAGCCAGGGCCCATGCAAAAAAAATTGGTGGGACCCCCAATGGCATTGATCACCGGTTCACGCAGTCCCTTCAAAGTAACCAAGCACCTACATTTATTGTGTAATATTTGTCTGTCCAATGACCTTGCTCCCTTTCATGTCATGTGATGACCTTGCGTGACGAGCGAACCGTTTAATCAACCTGTACTGTACTGTAGCTAGCAGCAGCAAGTTCGGCAGCATTATAAAAAATGGAATAGCTTGCATTTATAATGTACAGCAAACCAAAGCACAAGAGCGGCGCTCAAAAGAGAAAGGACAAGAGAGAACAAGGAGATGTAACAGCTAAACTGACAAAATTAGACAGTATTTTTTGTCATACATCGTCCTCAAAATCGAGCCCTAACATTAGCAATGTTGACGTGCAGCGGGAGCTTGAGGCTAACGATAGCTCACCTGCCTCACCACCATCATTGCCATCTAGCTCCACAAGTGAAGCTGTATCCGTGGCCGTGGCTGTGCGACCTTCTTCTCCAGCCAGCCAGGAGGAGAGGCTGGATTTGGCTGTGCCCGGCGGTGGTCCAACAGTTCCCCCAAGGGCTCCAACCGATAGGGGACTCTTTGGCGCTATCGAGACCACCGACGCCTAGATCAAAAGCTATATTATAGCAACCGGTCCATATAGGCCTACCGACCCATTCCCCAGAGACAAACATGAAGGAAACAGGTGTAATCCTCTTCTTAGTTTGCTTTGCCGTTGTCAGGCTGTGGTGGTCTGAGGCCAGGGCAGGCTGTTGTTGCTGAGTGGTTGTGTATGTCCGTGCGTGTGTGAGCACATTTTGCTTATGTTTCGGGCGATAGGGGGGGGGGGCCCAAAACAATATTTGCACCGGGGCCAATCACAACCTTGTTACGCCACTGGGCCTAATACCTGTAAATTCACATAATCACAGGTAAACTGTTTTAAAATATGCCTGCCATACTTACCCTCAAGCTTTCCTGAGTATAAGTGGGAGAGGTCAGCCGGCGTGGAACCATTTTTCCTGATCACCATGACATTTTCGGTAAAAGCTTCTGCATTGTGTTTCAAAAGCAGACGGAAAGTTCTGAGGAAAACAAAAAAAACAACAGATGTGGTAAAAGCTATGTAGTCTAGTGAAAGGCATGCAGATCTATCAACAGCAGGCAATTAGGGATCATTCATTGTTGACACACGTTATTATAATACAAAAATGGATACATGGATTTAGGAACAGGAAGTACAAACAGAAGAATACTATAGGCCTACCTGTATATTAAAGGTCACCTATCATGCTATTTTTAGGCAATAGCATAGGTCTCAGATATATACAAATATTTTAAAAAGATGTCTATGTCACATCAAGGATTATTTCTGAAACAGTATGGAGCTCAAATGCTTTTTCTCTCGCGGGTTTACCACAAGGTGAGTTTCTTTTTTTATTTCCTGCTTTTTACACACATGCTCTCTCCAGTACAGGTTAGCTCTGAGTGTTAGCAATGCTTGCTAATGTAAACAAAGACCATATTACGTCCAAAACAGTCGGGCATTGTTTCTGATAACAACGTTTCTGATAGTGCTGTGGGTCCACATTTCCGATATTACGTCATATCGGACGCAAATCTGGATCAGCTCCGTTGTACCCCCGTTTTTAGAGATTTGGGTACGGAGGAAAAGAGAGAGGGTTTTATTTCCTGACACTGTGTGAGCTCTCCGACACACCGGGGACACGTAGTTATGTATAAAAGACAGAAAGTGCATTTTGCATGATAGGTCCCCTTTAAGCTAGATTGTGTATGCTTAGGCGGGCTTTACAAACACTTGCCACAGTTATGAGAGGAGATATAATAGTTACCTGTTGAAAGCGGTAATATCCAGCTGTAATGCGTGTTCCTCAGGATGTGAGGCTCTCTTGGCTCTCAGGTGCTTCCTGTGAAGATCCTCCCTGTCGTATGACAAGCCCTCGTAATGCTTTATATACGGACTGATGCTACTCATGGCACCTGGAAAAAAGGAAGACATGGCAGTCGTTTCACAGAGCTTCACACCATAGAGAAACCATGCACAATGTCCACTTTCACCATTATTTAATTAAGCAATCACTGCAGAACCTAGAATCATAAAATCAGCTTTTATGCGAAAGGCATGTCATTATATTTAAAAGATGATTTGATGTCATTGCAAGAAGCATTCATCTTAATAAGGAATGTATCTACTGTATGCGTACATATTAAACAATCAACTGAAACATGAATACACAGCATTAGGTCATTTTGATTATCTTAAATCAAAGGTTAGGGAAAAACTAAGGACAATTGTCACTGTTACGCTTGATACATTTTAATGTTTTAAGTGTTCATTACTGTGCATTGTCCCTGCCAAATAAACGATTAAATAAATAAATTATAAATGATATAATCAAATGATCTTGTTAAGCTTTTTTAATACTTCACTTGTTCAGATTGAACCACCTATTTATTCTGCATTCTTTCTTTGAAACCTTTTAACTTCCAATATCTACTGCAAAACAATCTATTGTTGCAAATGAAAAATACACACTTGATGTTGATGTGTTCAATTTAGCATATGTCAAAGCTGTATTGAAGAAGCAATCGATTTGTTTATCTGTAAAACATGGGGGTTATGGTTCCACTTTTCAGACCAACATGGATTGCCTTTACATGACTGATGAATAATCTGTAGTCTATGAGTGTTGAATGTGAAAGTGCTGACTAACTGGATAAAGATCTAGAGACTAGCACTATCCTGTACAAGCAGTTATTACTGTATTACTTGTACCCCTCCTGAGTGAATCACACACAGCTCATGTGCAATGTATACTTTTTAGTGATAATTATTGTTATTACTCACTGGGAGGTACTTTATTATGCTGCTACATATTTTTTCACCGTTGTGTTGTGTCATACGCTTTAACGAGCATGTTTGCCTCTTTAATTTAATATTTTTAACACACTTATTTAACATCTGCACTGTCCCTTTTCTGAGGTAAAGTTTGGTTCTTCCAAATAATTAAAAAGGATTTCTGAATTCTGAAAAGAAAACGTGATTATAAATCCTTAAAAAAACAATTAATCCCAAACCCTGAGCAAACTAAGTAAACCAAACATTATCCCAACATCACTGAAAGTTTTTGGATGAGGGCTGCTTTTTTGCAGCATTCCTGAGAGGACAGGGTGAGGCATGTCTGAACACAGAAGAGGCCAGTCCACCCAAAACACACACACACACACATGAATTTATCCTCGAACAACCCCCCATACTTCATGGTGCTGGACTGGACTGGACACACACACACACACACACACACACACACACACACACACACACACACACACACACACACTACCTGTAATCCGTGGGTGGCAGTTGACCAGCAGCAGCAGCAGCAGCCAGTAGTGTTGAAATCCCATGATCTCCACATCGGTTTGTTTTTGTTTACTTTCACTGTGTTTTCCTTCTCCTCCTGCGCTCACACCCGTATCTCTTATTCATCCCATACCTTTCTCTTCACCAGCCTCGTTCCTATGGTCTTCCCACAGTGGAATGTGACTCTTGGGAAGTTGAAGCCAAAGAGATACGATCACCGACAGTAGAGAGGCAAATTGAGACTTGTTTTCGAGCATGTTATGAGTTTTCTGCACAGTAAAGGGAGGGCCTGGGAGTTGGAGTTGTACTTACTATAAAAGTGCTAAATGTAAAATAATCCAAAGTATTACATTCAGAAATGTGGTCAGTGTACCGTCCATACAGTAGTTATTACAACAACAAGCAGACAATATATGTATTTGAAAGCTAAAGCCAAGTGGTTCCAGCTTTGCTTTAGGCTAAATACGTTAGCATGTAGTTAGCATGTTAGTTTGCATGTATCACTTATGTCCAAGTGCAACTTCTAGGGATCCTCAACGTGGTTAGTTTTCATCCAGTGGAGACCATGTATGTTTGTTTCAATGTTTTGCCACTTTTTAACCCTAACCCTTGACCAAGCAGTCAAATTATTTCCAATAACACGTCATTGATATTAAATGCCACATTTTTAACTTTAATTACTTTCATTTCCTGATAAAGAAAAAAGATCCTCCCTCCAGTCTTACTATAGACCGGTGTGTGGGAGAGAAAGTCTTAAAATGGTTCCAAATATGAGAAGGAAGTAATTATTACTATGACTCACACTGTGCCAAAGGTATTATGTGGGCTCATTTTAAACAAAGTGTGACAGTTTTAGGTAATTTTGAGGAACAACAACTTCTCAAGAGGGAAATGGGACACAATTTGACCTGGAAATGAGGTAAAGTAACACAAAGGTTTTGCTATTTCTGCATGGAGGAATTGCAACAGTTTCCTGAATGTGAAGTCCAAGTAAACAATAGATAAGTTATCTTTATCTGTATCAGTGTTATCATTTCACCAATCTGTGTTGCATAAGAAATGGATGGTTTCTGAACATGCACACATATCCAGAAGTGTATGCTCAAATAGGTCAATGGCCTCTTAACATATATTCAATATTTACAGCCTAGAAACTGCAGAGAGAAAGTTTCAAAAGTGCTGACAGCAAACCTTTCCTCCACAGGAGTCCAACAACTCACTGAACTGTATCGAATCACTGACTGTAAAATTATCAGAATCATAAATATCTCAAGAAATCTCTGATGAATGGTCTTAAAAATGTTTACTTTTTACTGACACTGCTGAGATAGAGAGCCAGGCAGATCGTATGTTAACAGGCAGATAACCAACTCTATAATTTAGCTTGTACATTTTCCCTGGAATAAGCAAAGGCTTAAGAAGAAGCAAGAGCTCCAACAACAAGCCGTTTAGGACAGAGAGTGAATACACATACAGAGATGTTGTATGAGAAACCAATGTGAGTTTGGAAAATTGCACAATATAAATCTATTCTAGTAGACCTCAACAATGGAATTATGATCAGTAGAAATGGCCATGACATGGGACCTTTAATAAGTTGTTTTCATTTCATTTCTGAAGTTGTATAACTCTGATCTTCCAAGGAGGTTTCAGGGGATTTATATTTCATTCATTTGACCTGACTGTGTTTAAAGCGATGACTTAACACCCCGATCAATTACAGCTCTCTCAGGTTGGGTCACGTCCAGCAGCAGATGTCACCGACAGCTTCCTGGCCTGAGACGCTACTACAGACAACATATAAACCTCTGACTCATGACCTCAGCCCTCAGGTCAATGGGTTACAGCCTAGTTTAAACCCCCCCTGTCCTTTAATCACCCTCTGACCACCTCTTGCTCCACACCGATTGGCTGAGAAAGGATCACCCGGATCCAAGCGTTGACATCACAGATTCAGTCACACCCACGGGTACAGGCAAATATGCACACACACACACACACACACACACACACACACACACACACACACACACACACACACACACACACACACACACACACACACACACACACACACACACACACAGGCCCAAAGACTGTTAAACACGTGAACTAGAACATCCATAACATTCACCTGTTTGCAAAAAATGTCACCTTGCTCTATTAGTCTAATCTGAGAGACCTCACATCACCCTACTTTCCAATGTGGAGGTCGACCAACTTGCTACTGTACTTCGTTCACCCCTAAACGTTTTAAGCATTTCAATTAGGTATTTTTGAGGCTTTGCATGTGATCCCATCCAAAGACAACATAACAATAAAATGAAGATGTCATGGAAAGGTGCAATTGAGCAGGAACATCTGCACTTCTCCTGAAGAGCTCTTGTAAAATATGTATTACTCCTGTAATTATCTTTATTTAAAGTCTGGAAAGGTTACTCTAGGACTTTGACTTTAGACGGAGAGTTTTCTGAGTGCTTTTTCTCGAGAAATGTGATTTCATGTTTATACAAAGTTGCTTTTCTTTTCTTAAGCACTTTAAATAGCCAGGATCTTGACAGAGGAAGCATTCAGAAGTTAAATCTGCTTATTTCCCAAGTGTTTCCAAAATGCTTGGAACTCAGGTCTTGTTACAAGAATGGCAAACTCTTACATGCATGTACAATTATTTGCAGACTGCAATACTATATCCTGACATTTCTGGGAGCACGTCCACGTTTAGATTCTCGGCTCTACGTTCAAGATTCATGTTCGTTTCCCCTTTCGGGATTTTTGCCCGGATGTGAATCTCTCGAGAGGTTTGCTCACTGCTTGACAGCGATGTGTTCACAGGGGTTTCTGGTTCCCTTTGAAGCTAATTCAAACCAACACTACTCACGACATCCAATCTGACCCCGCAAATGTGTCAGTATTGAGAGCCAGACAAAGGATCGTGGGGTAATGAGTGCAGGCCTTCAGCAGGTTTCCCTGAAGGTTCATAGGCTATGGGAATTATGAAATCACATCATTCTGCTGACATAGCCAACTGGTAACCCCTTCATAGACTTGACCCACTTCACAAAGGGCTGCAAGCTTCCCTTTCTACAAACCCGGGCAGCGCACAATATCCAGTCTGTGTCTCTCTCCATAATGAGTGCATTGTGTTCAAGGCTTCGACACAGATCTGAGATGAACTGATGAGGCCGCTGCCATCCATCTCTGTCTCGTTATCAATGCCTCGGTCTGACAGCGGAGATCTTCTGAAGACTAAGGCCATGTTTGTCCATCATGTTATTCTTTTAGATTCAAATCAAATACATGACGGTGGGCACTTTTAAACTATTTGTGTTTAAGAACTGTCAAAATATTTCAACATGATCACGCATTTTAGTTCCAGATATAAATAAAACATCTTACCAAAATGTTGGAGAAAAATATGAATAGAACATTGTGGAAACAATTAGTTTGATATCATAAATCTACGCAAGTCATGGTTATTTATATACGTATATACAGATGTAGTTAAATAGTTTTAGAGAGTGGTCCGTCGTCTTTTTTCTTTTTCTTAACAAAACAACAACAATAAGCACACAAGAACATGGGGTTTTTTCTTTTCAATATAAAACATTGGCAGTATAGATCCTTAAATAAAATATTTCAAACAGTTAAACAAAAGAAGGGCGTACTCCGGGGTAATATACACTTTCCATTTCTCCGCGAATGTCCTCAAATGTAAGGTCCTGGAGCCTGCATAGAGAGGTTTATTCTTTCCATTACACAGATTTTCAGTAAATGATAATTCGTATGCCAATGCATCTATAGATGGGGCCTGCTTTGCTTTGGGCCCCCAGCGGGGGTCAAAACTCAAGGCCCGGGGGCCCAAATCCGGCCCGTGAATTCATTTGATGCGGGCCCCACAAGACAGCTTGCAAAGATTATAATATGTTTATTATACGGTTACCTTGGCAATTAGCAGAATACGTTGGGCCCATAAACTACATGCCCACAATGCATTTCAAAAATATGCCCCTTTTTTCAAAAATGTCACTTTTTTTTCAAAATTCATTCTTTTTTTTTCTTTTTGACTTTTTTCCTCCAAAAAATGTGGCTTTTCCTATTTAAATCGATTTCTGTGACATTCTCGTACTGAAGAGAGCTTGCAAATTATTCTTGCCCAAACTTCAAGCATTCAGACGTAGTTGTAATTATGAGTTTACCCGCCTATCCGAGAAAAAATCCAATGCAGAGGCAATAATGTAATAAAATACATTATTTTTATATATATCCAAATATTTATATATGTATTTTTATATAGTCTTAAAAACTTTGAGGTGCAAGCATAATGCTGATGTGGCCCGAGATGAAATTGAGTTTGACAGCCCCCTTTTGAGCGGCATTTCTTGTGTGATTGGCTTTGCCTCGCAGGGGCAACCACTCAAACATCCAGATTTATTTTAAAAGCGCAGGGCAGCTGTTCCGATAGTCAAGCGAAGATTGTTTTTAGCCTGCCAATACTACTACGATGCATTTTTGCCCTTTTGTTGAATTTTTGTGGAAATCAAACCGCGGCCCTGCCCTGATTTCCAGCTGACATTCACCTACATACAGTTATAATGGGCTACTCTAAACAGGTGTCAGAAAAAAAAAAAAAAAATCTGTCTGTTTCATTTTGTCCTGTCTAGATCTGCTTTTGTTTTCCTGTTTCAGCCGTTTTGAAAAAGTTCACACTCAACATCCAGAATAAGTATTTTTCTTTTCATATTTGTTGATGTTGAGTGGGGGCAGAAAAGTACATAAGCTTTTTATTCTGTTGCTGCAGTTAACAAAATATATTTGGTAGTCATTCATCTTTTTTTTTAGGGATTTGTTTAAATAGACTTACACAGGTGTATACTCTCAGGCGTGGACAGGAAAGGCGCTTTGCTTATTAGCCTGCATGCAATGCTTGCCGCTTTCTAAAAGAGACAGTCTTAAAAATGAAGCATAAAGAACCATGGAGCTTCAGGGTTATTCAGTCCATTCACAGTTTCATTCTTGTTTGATTGCTGTTTCTGTGCNACACTACATACTGATATACACCTGAACATCAGCAGGAGAGGACTCTTTAAAGTAGAGACACTACATACTGATATACACCTGAACATCAGCAGGAGAGGACTCTTTAAAGTAGAGACACTACACACTGTTGTTAATGTTATAATGATGCAGTAAGGATATAAAAT